GGGCTTTCGGCTTATCAGAGTGGAGACTGGCTAGGGCTTGACCTTGGCCCTGCCACTGTCTCTGCCTGAGCAGCCATGCCCTAGCGGGGGGCTTAATCTCAACACAGTTGCAGTTTGCTGCCCCCTGCCTTGGGGCAGGAACTAAACCCTTGCAGCTCCATGGGCAGGGATCGGGGTTCAGCTACCTTGTTACTTTTGTTTTCTTCTTTCTATCCCCCCACAGTCTCAGAGGGCTGCGCAGGGGCTTTTTCTCAACACAGTCACAGCTTGCCGCCCGCCGCCTCAGGGGAGGGACTAAACCCTTGTAGCTCTATGGGCAGAAATCGAGGCTCAACAACATTGTTACTTTTGTTTCCCTCTCTTCTCTATATCCCTGCACAGTCTCAGCAGGCTTACTTTAAAATTTTTTTTCTCCTCTTTGTCTTTTTCCTGTTCTCTCACACTCCACTACTGACCTCCAGACCACTCTCCTTAGCCTACTCCGCCCAGGGGAATTCCTGCCTGTGTGCCTGTGTGCCTAAGGCAGCTCAGCCAAAACTCGTCAACGATCCAAGATGCTGCAGGAAACTCTGCCCAACCTCCGCAACACCAAAGCAGGCAACCCACCAGCCTTCTGGGACACTCCCCTGAGAGGGAAGCCACAGGAGGATAAAGAGGTAGGTTAATTCCATAGTGAAATTAGCTGTAGGCAATTTGAAGAAGCATTCCTACAAGGAAGCGGAGAGAGCCAGTGCTCTTCGACTCCCTGGAAAATGGCATCCGGCTCCTCTAAAACAACACAACGCAAACAGCCATCAGCCCCAATGACCTCAATGAAAAAACAGGAGAAACAAAAGGCAATGGCAGAAGATGTCCCAAACATAACAACATGCATAGAAGAAGCAAACATTGAGCTGCCACAGAAATAATTTTTCAGAATGCTGCTTGGAGTCACTAACCAACCTGGCAGTAATCCTGAGTGTGGTTTGGGGTAAATGTTAACTGTCAGAAGGGGTAACCCCGCGCCACACGCTGAATTACATTGCAGAGATTACACTGCGATCTGACTTCTTCGTTCCGTTCCGTTCTCTGCATGTAGTGTCGCCACACGGGGGGAATTGGATGGGAAATTCAAAACTGCAAGTCTAAAAGAGACACACACACACACACACACACACACACACACACACACACAGTGTAACCTGTAAAGATTACATTGTATCAAAGCAAATCACCTTAG